CTCTCTCTCTCTCTCTCTCTCTCTCTCTCTCCCTCCCTCCCTGTCTCTCTCCCTCTTGTGTCAATTCATAACCTCCTTCACTCTCCACTGCTGTTTGCAAATTTTAAGTATTCATCCTTTACTAACTTTGCCTTCATTTTTTATCTACATCATCTTGACCTTCACATCTCAAACCCTATACATGTACTATATTTTTTTAATTTTAATTGGTCGCTTCTAAGGACAAGCCGGCTAACCCAGATTTCGTGGTTCCCAGAAATTTTGACCTACACCAAGAGTATGCATTGCCCTATCTATAGGAGAAGTTTGATTCCATTGGTGTGTATTTGTTTGGTTATAGAGAAAACTCTTCTTGTCTTTTAAAGAAACCGAGCAAGGGGCAAAAACTTTACATTCGATTATCTCAAAACAGTATTTTCGAGATGGCCCCCTTATGCTTAAAAGCACAAAGTCGTTTTAATCAAACTCCTTACCCCACCCTATACCCCAGAGAGGCAGCAAATCTTAATACTTTTAAGCGATTGCTCAAGACTCTTTTCTCCTTTATTTAAGTTTTAGCTGTAGTGTGGTAGTATGTGTTAATATGTGGTGTTTTCATTTGTCCGTACGACGTGTGTATTCTAATTATAATAATTATTATTATTAATATTATTATCATTCATATTATTATTATTATTGTTATTTTTATTATTATTATTATTATTATTTTTAAATTTTTTTAAAAATTATACTTTATTATCATTATTATTATTATTATTATTATTATTATTATTATTATTATTATTATTAATTATTTTTTTATTATCATTATTATTATTATTATTATTGTTTTTAATTATTGTTTTATATTATTATTATTATTATTATTATTATTATTATTATTATTAGTATTAGTATTAGTATTAGTATTAGTATTATTATTGATGTTGTTGTTATTAGTTTTGTGTTGTTGAGAAAGTTTATCTTTATGCGGTTGAACTGGTGTTCTTGTTACTGAGAAATATTTTTTTCATGTGTGAATGAAGCATTACGCTCAGTGATCATGTTGTCGACGTAAAACGCTCAGAGCTTATACTCGTATGGGATAGGGTGCTTCTTTACTTACTTTACTTTTCCGATCCAGCGGCCATTTGGGTTCTAGCCCTTCGGTCTGTCGATATGGCAAAGAATTGACAGGTTTTAATCAGCTGTGCTATGTCGCTGTATAGGGTATTTCCGATGTCTGGGAAGGCAGGTAGGTAGGTGCTACGCCCACACAAAGTGCTGGGCAGTTAAAGAGGTGGTGTGGTACTGTTTCATCCTGGCAGTCGCACAACGGGCAGTCGGGTGGGGTATCCTTGCGGATCCTATTAAGGTAGGAATTTAGTGGTATGTGTTGTGTACGCAGGCGAAATATTGTGACTTGTTCTCTTCTACTCAGGGAATTTATTGCATTTTTAGAGTTGGGGGCTGTCATGTGTGCAAAGACAATTCTTCCAGTTTTGCCCATTGCCCATCTATTCAGCCACTGTTCCCTGGTGTTGCATTTGATGATGTTCTTGATGTCTGTTGTGATACTGGGTTGTGTAGTTGTGTTTGTGATGCTCCCTTCTTGGCAAGGGTGTCTGCTCTGTCGTTTCCTGTTATGTTGCTGTGGCCAGGTATCCACTGTAGTGTCAGGTCGACGGCATAGGTCTGTATGAAGGTGTTGATTGTTTGAGCCACAGATAGGCAGGCTGGACTTTCGAAATTCATGTTTTCCAGAGCTTGGAGTACTGACTTTCTTTCTGTGAAGATAATAGTGTTCTTGATTTTGTTTGGATATATTATGAAAATGTTGGTCAGGTGGAGGATTGCTGCTTCAAATGTGATGGCCTCAGCCTCGTAATTTGTACAAGAAGTACCACATGCGTCAAATAGCTCTTCACATGTTTTGTCAGGATGTTCAATTCTTACCCCAAAGCCTGCGTTTATAGTTCCCTTGAAGGCTGACCCGTCTGTATAAATATGAATTGAATCACTAGGGTAGGAGTCAATTGTCTTCAGAGCTGTTGTCTTCAGTTCTACTGGGTCACATTCCTTTTTCACTGTCTCTTTTATGAGGGAGGTTTTGATGTTGGCGTTCTTGATGTTAGTGTTTGGGGGGAGTTCTGGTCTTAAATGTTTCAGCATTTCTCTGTTACATGGAAGATGGTGTTTTTCTGCTAGTTCAGTGGCTGTGTCAAGTAGGGGATAGGGTGCTATATGAATGCATTATATTTATTATAATTATTATCATTATTTTGTAATCATTACTACTACTACTACTACTACTACTACTACTACTACTACTACTACTACTACTACACCAGAGCACCCGCCAACCACCCACGTTTCATTATTTTGACGAGCGCCTTATTTTCCCCACGCTATCTCACAATTGGTTTTTCTCTTTCCAGAAATGCCCCACCCATCAGCTGATGTCCCGGAAGATGATCAAGGCGAGCACGTCTACAACAACACTGATGGCCAACACGAGTATTTCTCCAACTCTTCTTTGTTAGGAGGTACGTACAATATTGTGAGGTGTGCTGACAAGAAGAGTTACTTCTCCGATTTTAGCCGTATGGAAATCAACACATCAACTTTATAAGTGGAGTTTGTACAATTTGTAAGTATGGAAAAATAAAAGACATCGTAGTCTTGAACGAAATTGCATCAATTAGGCATTTGTAAATCTTAAATTTATAAATCTGACCGCAGTGTCGATTTTCGGCCGATATCTCCATTCTTGAACAGCGAGAAGTAACTCATTTTGTCAGCACACCTTACATATTATCATGGACTGTCACAGCTAAAGATTTAACGGGCTCCATGATTCCATACTCGTCAGTGGGTGGTTGGCGGGTGCTCTGGTGTCGTTTGCTCATTCTTTCCTATAAAAAAAATCTATCATCTCTATCTCCCCCTCCTTCTTTTTTTTGTGTTTGTTACTCTCGTGTAACACCTCCAATCTTCGGCACTTATATGACCGTATTATTGTGTTGCAAGTGCCGTAAAACACATATTAAAACTAAACCATCCTCATCTATAAAACGTTTTAATTTATTAGATAGTTGTTTGGTGCAGTTTTTTTCTCTAAGCTGAAACACTTCAGTAGCATCATGGACTGTCACAGCTAAAGACTTTACGGGTTCCATCCTCATTTTTAGCCCTATCCGTACGCCCTGGGGTCATTTTGTACCCCTGGGGTTGTATTCTTTACATTTTAGAATACTTCTTGTACGAAGATCTCGTTGAAACTTTCAGTATTTCTCAAAAAATCATTTTGACAGACTGCTATGCAAAGCGTACGGATCGGATTAACGAGTAAATTTCCTCTTTGGAAAGCGGTGTCACAGAGTTCCCCACGTCGTACGGATACGATAGTAAAACACGACGTACGAATAGGGTTAAGCGGTGGCTCAGAGTTCCCCACGTCGTGTGGATACCTTTGAAATTATGGAGTGTACAACCACGAACGCGAAATGGAGAATCAATCTATACATCTATTATATATTTGGCAACTTGGAAACATATGTGCCACTTTTTTTCTCAAGATTTATTGTTCCATTCCAGTAGAGTGTAAATATAGTAGGCCAATGGCTTTCAGTTGAAGGTAATGCACCGATCGTTCCTTTCATCGAAAGGGGACCAGCTAGTATAATAATATGTTCTGTTACTGTTCTCCCCAGATGACAAGGCGAGCCGCCCGTCTGCCCCCGATGCAAGTCTCTTGGACAACCAGGTCTATTACAACACCAGCCCGATGACTGGCAGCTTGACGGAGGCGACTCTTTGATAGGGGCGTGTCTTGTGGGGATGGGCGTGTCTTATTGAGCAGGACAGAGGCTTGTCTTGTCATGAGAGTGGTGTGTCTTGTTTTATAGGAAATGGGCGTGTGTCTTTTTAAACGAGACATGGGCTAGTCTTGTTAAATAGAACAGTGGGGTCTCTTGTTATATAGGACATGGTCGTGTCTTATTGAGCAGGACAGAGGCTTGTCTTGTCATGACAGTGGCGTTTCTTGTTTTATAGGACATGGGCGTGTCTAGTTAAATAGGACAGGGGTGTGTCTTATTAAATAGGACAGTGGAGTGTGTCTTGTTAAATAAGGGATTGGCGTTTCCTGTTAAATAAGACAGGAGTGTGTCTTATTAAACTGGAAAGGGGTGTGCCTTGTTAAATGAGACATTGGCTTGTCTTGTTAAATAAGGCAGGGGGTGTGTCTTGTCATATAGTGCAGGGGGTGTCCTGTTAAATAGGACAGGGGGTGTGTTTTGTCAAATAGGAAAGGGAATGAGTTTTGGTAAATAGGACAGGGGGTGTGTTTTGTCAAATAGGAAAGGGAATGAGTTTTGGTAAATAGGACAGGGGCGTGTGTCTTTTTGAATAGGACAGGGAATGTGTCTTATATATAGGACATGGGCGTGTCTTGTTAATAGGACAGGAGGGGTGGGGTGTCTTGTTAAATAGGACATGGGTGTGTCTTGTTAAATGGGACAGTGGGTGTGTCTTGTTAAATAGGACAGTGGGTGTGTCTTGTTAAATAGGAGAGGGAATGAGTTTTGGTAAATAGGACAGGGGGCGTGTCTTGGACAGGGGTGTGTCTTTTTAGATTGGACACGGGGTTCGAAGAAGAACGTCAGTTTCTTTGATTTCTTTATTTTTAAAAGCGCCTGATTTCACCACGAAGCCTTACAAAATATTTTTTTAAGACAGAGGTATGACTACATCCCCAGTGCAGGCTGTTGGGCCTATGTTTGATACTTGTGATACTGTTATTGCTGGTTTTGTTGAGGGTGGGTCCACACTGTTGTTCACTCTAGTTCAATTCTGTTCCTTCCAGGACTCTCTTTTTATATTTCAAGATGTTTCTTGAGCATTCTATCTATCTTAATCTCATCGTTGCTCATCTCTGTTACGCTTGATGCATTTTTTGCCTCTCGGAAGCTCACATAACGTCGGAAAGTTGTCCTAATGTACATAGCCTAGAGAGAAATTTTTCAGAAGAAACCCCCCCAAAATGTTTTATTCTTTTAACAATTGATCCTAATTTCTGTATCTTTTGCCTTCTTCAACGTTTAGAATTGAATTATTATTGTATTTTGGGGTCACAAAAAGACATATTATTGTATTATTAGTGTCACAAATTGACATTTTATTGTATTATTCATGTCACAAAATGACATATTATTGCATTATCAGGGTCACAAAATGCCATATTTGAGGCGCGCTAACAAAATGAGTTACTTCTCGCAATCCATTAATGGAGACTTCAGCCAAAAATCAACACTAGGGTCATATTTGTAGACTCTAAACCAATGCCATTCTTTTCACGTCTAACATGTCTTTTAGCATTTCATACTGATAAATTGTGAAACTTCAACCTATAAATTTGATGTTTCTATTTCCATCGGTTGAAAATCTGAGAAGTAACTCATTTTGTCAGCACACTTCACTTATTATTGTATTGTTGGTGTCTCAAAATGACATATTATTGTTATTGTATTATTGGAGTCATAAAATGACATATGTTACTGACGTCACAAAATGACATGTCAGTATATCATTGGCGTCACAAAATGAAATTAGTATTATTATTATTATTATTGTATTATTGGTGTCACAAAATGACATATTATTGTATTATTGGAGTCACAAATTGACATAATAATATTACTGTATTATTGACATCACAAAAAGACATTCTTGTACTATTGGTGTCACAAACTGACATATTATTGTGTTATTGTTGTCAGAAAATTACATATTATTATTGTATTGTTGGTGTCACAAAATGACATATAATTGTTTTTGTATTATTGGTGTCATAAAATGACATATGCTACTGACGTCACAAAATGACATGTCAGTATGTCATTTACGTCACAAAATGAAATTATTATTATTATTGTATTATTGTATTATTGACGTCACAAAGAGATATATTATTGTGTTATTGGTGTCAGAAAATGACATATTATTGTGTTATTGGTGTCAGAAAATGACATATGCTGTTGATGTCACAAAATGACGACATCTATTAACCCTATCCGTACGCCGTGGGGTCATGTTGTACCCCCGGGGGTGTATTCTTCACTTTTTAGAATAGTTCTAAAATGAAGATCTCTTTCAAACTTTCAGTATATCTGAAAAAATCATTTTGACAGACTGTTATGCAAACGTACGGATCGGATTAACGAATAAATTTTCTCTTTGGAAAGTGGTGGCACGGAGTTCCCCACGTCGTATGGATACGATAGTAAAACACGACATACGGATAGGGTTAAGTGGTGGCACGGAGCTCCCCACGTCGTATGGATACGATAGTAAACCACGACGTACGGATAGGGTTAAGTGGTGGCACGGAGCTCCCCACGTCGTATGGATACGATAGTAAAACACGACGTACGGATACATCATAAACATTTATTTTCGTGTGGATACTTTGTGTCCTCCTCTCCGGAAACCTTCAAAAGGTTTCTGACGTGACAAGTGTCAAGTTCAAGACCTCTTCTCTAGATGTCAAAATTTTTGGGTGGAAAAAAGGTAAAATTGTATAGATTTAACGCCCATATAAACACTATTAGGACATTTAAGAGACGGTTTTTAGGGGGAGGGGGGAGGGGGGAGAGGCAGGGCTGGGGTTGCGAAGAAAAAGTTGAGAATTTGATTTGTTTTAAATCTTTCAACTGGGAGGTTCCAGTTTCTGTTATTTACTCCTTCATTTAGAAGGTTACGAATTTCGATTGTTTTTTTGTTTTTTTGTTCTTTATCTAGAGTGAAACGAATTCCGTTATTTAACCCTCCATATAAAGGGTTACAAACTCCGTTATTTAATCCTCCATATAAAGGGTTACAAACTAAGTTATTCCATCCTTCATATAGAGGGTTACAAACTCCCGTTACTCCATCCTTCATATAAAGGGTTACAAAGTCCGTTATTTCATCCTTCATATAGAGGGTTACAAACTCCGTTATTTAATCCATCATACAGAGAGTTACAAACTCCGTTATTTAATCCATCATATAGAGGGTTACAAACTCAGTTATTTAATCCTTCATATAGAGGGTTACAAACTCCGTTTTCTAGTCTTTCACCCAGAGAGACATAAGCCAACACATAGCAAGCTCTCTTGGGTCAGACATTTGAAAATTCCACAATGATATTGTGAATTCAATGTCAAAATAGAACCACTGTTGTTCTAAAGAGAATGAATTGATGTGCTTCTCTTATTGTCTTCACTTTCTAATTGCTGGATGTTGAATGATAATGTTAATTATATTGATAATGCTAATGATAGTGACAATGATAATGATAATGACAATGATAATAATAATCATTAATATAATATTTTTTCATGTATATAGTGTATATCCACACCCATTTTGCATACGCATAATATTATGGCCTACCTCACAGCTCACCAATGACACTTTTTAGTTGTAAAACTTGTTACAAGAAATTAATTTTTATTGTGAACATATTTTGGAACTTAAGGTTCTGAAAGCATGCGTTCAATCTAAGCATAATGTCGCGATTAGAAGAAAAAAAAGACGGACTTTCCTTTTAAAGCAATATTATGTCCTGTGCTGCAAACCTTTTAAAATCTGTAGAAACCACCCACTTGGATTTTTAAAAGTATTTATTTAAGGAATTTTCTAGAATACAGTTAAAAGGTGTTATCAAAACAATATTTATCTGTTAAGACACATTGGTACACGTTACTGGGCAGAAGCAGGTGAGTCTGTTAGATAGTTCTGGAATCATAATTTGACAATAATAAGTTGGGCCTCGAATTTTTTACCACACTATAATAACCCGTCTTTATTCAAGACTGTTTATATTGTTCATGTACACACTTTATCTCTCCCCGGGGCAGTGCCACTGACTGTAGTGTCTTTAGGCCATTCCCAAAGGGGGGACATTTCTCGTTCAAGCACAGTAGAATTGTAAATGGACTGACTCATGTCACGCTCATAACTGTGTCTGATCTACAACAGGGAACTGCTGCTTTTTCTTTCCTTATCCTTACTATTGTCATTTTCCTCTCCTTCTTTTGTATGTTTGTCACACTCTTGTGACCCACTGTTTCCGGGGTGTCTTGATAGTCGAAGCAGACCTTGTGCTGTTGAAGCTAGAGAGGTGAGCAGTCTAAGTCTGATTTCCTGTAAAGACTTCTCTGTTGACACCCACCCCTTGGCGCTCATATGACCTTATGCAGTTACGAGCGCCGTAAAAACACTCTATTATTTAAAAAAAAACCACACACACACTTTATCTTTGAATGATGTATAGAATATTTGTAAAGTGAAATACATGAGACAGGACGTGGTGGAATCAGGCGCTCGTCACTTTTGGGCATATTGGGTTATTGGTATCATCTTAAAGCCTGTTCATTTGCCTTGCTTTTGGTGAAAAAAAAGTCCATCTATGTTGAATAGAAGTCGAAATATTGGCGACTGAAGGAGGTGAGGGCCATCTGGTTTCAGAGATAAAATTCGCGAGAACATGGCCGCCAAAGTTTGGTAACTTCCATAGCCAGAGAGGCTTTGGAAACTGAAAATTTACGGGTTTTTTTGTGCCTTTAGTCATCAATGGGGTTTTTAAAAAGTAAAATCCACACAACAATGTGATAAATGGACAAAAAAGGGGTCGAAACCAAAAACCAAAAATTTAATAAAAATTGCCAAACTGGCGGGAAAATGTCGGTTTCTCAAATTTGGTTATTTTGACGAGCGCCTGGTTTCACCATGATGCCTCATACATTATACATATTATCATGATCTGAGCCCATGTGATCAGAAACAAGTGTATATTTTTCTACAACAAGCACTGATGTCTTCCCCTGTAAGAAAATGTTCCGCGTTGCAATAATTGCACTCTGTTGTTGTCTTTTGACAAACCTGTTGACATGAAAAATGAGTGGGTGGTTGGCGGGCGCCCTGTGTGCTCTGCCCAGCCCCCCCCCCCCCCCCCCCCCCGTTTTTTTTTCTTTCTCTGCCTACCACTTTTTATTTTCAAACATAATACTATGTCGTCATTGTCTCTCTTCCTTCTGTTCTTTGTAAGTATCTCTATGGTAACTCTTCTCATCTACAGCCTTTACAACTCAGAGGCCTCGTTGATAATGAGAAATTGGTCGCTTTTAAGGACTAGCGGGCTAACCCAGAAATCTTGACTTGCACCAAAAGTGGGCATTGCCCTACCTATAGGAGAAGTTTGGTTTCATTGGTGTATATATTTGTTTGGCCATAGAGAAAACTCTTCTTGTTTTTTAAAGAAGCTGAA